CACTACCAAATCAGTGCAATGAAGCAACAAATATTCAAATACAAATATAAGTACATAGCTCAAAGAGAGAGTTGACGAAAAAAGTCACGCTTTGTTATGATAAAAAACTTGATATAAAAGTCAAAGAATTGTTTTCTAACTTAGTGCTATTGTCCTGAGTAACGCCAGCAATCCACATAGTGGAGTGACATGAAGATTAAGGCAAAAATTATTTGACGAATAGTCTCTCTAGCATGAAGCCAAAATATAATCTCTTCACTAGGATTAGACATACTTTTTGGAGCTTCGGACAATTGCTGTCAAAAAGTTCCCTATAGGAAAGCAAATATTTTATCCATGGAAATAATGAAACAAATTTAATTATCAGTGACGGCAGGAATTTCATAAGTTTTTAGAAAAATATTATTTATTCTGTCACAAACAACCATACTATAGTGGGCCACAGCCGACCGTTAGATAGCCTACACCATCTTACAGTTATTTGTATAACGACTTTTCGCAATAGCGTGCTATGTGGCATGTGATCGAAAGAGTAGCCCGATCCGACCCATTTTTAACAGGGGTCATCCTCACGCCAAACATGCCAGTGTAGCAAATTTAATCAAAATAAGTAAATTTTTTAGGTAAGGAGTTTTAGAAAATAACGCGTGATACAGAGGGGGATCGCAAACATAGTTACATTGAATGCATTTTCAGTAGGATCCAGGCTTGGCTCAAAATACCTCAGACTTCATCAAAATATCTTGCAAAAAGCGAGTGACAGGTCGAGCACAAAAACACATCAGCGGACATAAGACGAACAGGAGGAGTAACGGAAGGCACGATAGAGGATAGAAGGTGACGTAGGATTCAAATGTAGGTGTGCGAAAAAGTTTTATTACTACGTGAGTGCTCGCAAAAATGTTTTGAAACATTTACCCATCAGAAGTATTCGAAGCCTAAATTTAAGCAACCACGTCGAATATTTATATCAATGCAATAATAATAGTGTTTGCGAATTTATTTTTACAAGTATCATCGATAACAATATATTTTAATTATTTAGTTTAGTTAGCTCATAACAGAATAAGTCTCATAGTTAAAAGATTGCGAATAGCTTAAGCTAGGCCTTAGAATACTTAATCCTAAGCTTGTAGTGGCAAAAGGAAGGTAAAGAAAAATAACAGCAAATCACAGTAGCGTTATAAATTATGTAACCTACTTTCCACTTTCATTCGAAATGAAGTATAAATGATAGTTTTCATTAAAGAGTTGGGAGAACGCAACTCATAGCTACTCCTCCGACATGATAGGCGTAAGGGAAAGAGATGCGTAGAGAGGGGAAGAGGGGCAGCGAAGCCAAGCGAGTTTTGGTAAGAACGAAGGCTCTACTTCAGCATTAATAAGCTTAGCCATGAAACTCGCAGACAGAAGACACACTCTTTTTATCCTCGAGAGAATTTAGGCAGACTAAAAGGAGTGTATTCTCGTAAGGAGGGAAAGTTTTTTGCTTGGAAAGGTATATGCAAGACTTTTCCCATCCTACCGTCTCGTTAATACAGTGTTACAAACAGAGTGAGTATCAAGTGCAATGTGAATTCGAATTTCTATGGTGAGCATAATGTAGAGAAAGTGCGCTCTTTTGTTTTAAAACAACTTCATATGAAGATAAAAAGACAAATTAATGTGTATTTATGTGACACTTCGCGCTGAGAGAAGTACAATAACGCACAATCGATGTTCTAGAGTGGTACATATATCCGTATCAACACATACCAAAACGGACAAAAAAGTTCTATTTAGTGCAAAACGCAAAGATTTTTTTTTTTTTTTTTTTTTTTGTTCAACAAATAATTACGTCTTCATTCGCATACATGGATTTACGCGCTCATTCACATAATGAGATATCATGCTTGCGTAGATAAGCAGTCATTGTTGTTCTTCTTCTTTTTGTTACTGCTAGTAATTTATGCAAATAGTATAGAAACATGCACAAAAAACAGAACATCTCGTGTTGTTTGTTTTCGCAGTTTTTACTCTCTTGCCGTAGCTTTCTCCCATCCATAGAATTATAAAACTTTTGGTTTTCTATTTTTTTTTACTGCTATCAGCTGGTGTGCTTTTCGTTTCGTATTTCCACCAAAACAGAAAGAAACAAAGCCAAAGTTCAAATGTATGCACGCATATATAACGTATGTATAAAGTACGAATAAAACAGTGAGATGAAAAAGTTTCGGGCATGTGTTGGTTTTTTGTTCAATTTTGAATTACATCATGTATGTGTGTGTGTCTCTCATTGAGTAAGACCCGCATGATGGAATAAACTTAAATATTGGAAAAAAGCAGCGAAAATTTATATAATGGGTTTTATTTTTATTGCGATGTGTACAATTTCATAGGAATTTATTTCGTTAGATTTAATATATGCCTTAAGTCATAACAATAATCTATTCATTAGCGAATGGTTTAACTCTTCAAATGTTCATGTCGAGTCATGTTACGTTATCCACTGAAAAGAGTGGACAGAGCAACATAATCCTTGCATGTTTATCAGTTATTTGGGGACTTGAAGTTTATCGGCTAATTTCATAATCATACTCTACACCACCAATAACATATTAAGTTGATGCGGATGAATGCATCACCCGACAGGGCTTGGAATAGAATCATCTTTCATTATACCAACCGCTTCACAGTCACTTTCTCCATCGATCTAAGCTTGTCTTTTTTTCGGTTCATCTGTTTTGTCTCTATGGATGATCAATCCATAAGCGGTAATTTTTCTTGTATTTAAGGTGAAGTTGGGTATACGATAGTACTTTGATCCGAAAACGAACGCTATTGAGAATGGTTCGAATCGAAGCACTTTTTCGTCCCCTTCCTATATAGCAACCTATCTCAAAAAGCCGTTATATGAATAACTACATGAAGGGAAATGATGTAGGGTACCTAATGTTTGGCCTAAGTATTACAACCAGTTTCGTCCAGCGTTTTAAACTTATACCAGAAATCGAGCGCATAAAAAGTTTAGTAGATTTGAAGAAAGATTGACGTAAATGCGCTTAAGCGGGAGCGAATTAACTTCATAAACAATGAATGAATAAATTCCCCATAACGTAAACTTTTTTTGGCTATTTAGAGTATTTTTCGTGGCAAAAACTAGTGCGAAATATTTGTGCATCTGTTACACACAAGTAGAAATCCCCAAAAACTCCCGGAACATTACAAGTGCTATAACCATTTCCTTGAAGATCGAGAATTATAGAGGACGAAAAAAATGACTCTGTATTAGTGTTAAATAATAATTTTTGGCAGTTTTGTACGACTTAAGCAAATTAAAAGCAAAGCAATAATCCTTGATCAACAGCTTTGTTTTCAACTGCCTTCTGGATATATAAGAAGAAAAACATATCAACTGCTTTACTAATACGTTATATGCTTGAGAGCCTCACAAGTGCGAAAACAAAAAGGCAAGAAGGAAATTGCTGTTTTTGGTAATTGCTAATGAATCGGTTTAGCTGATTTCCGAACTTGTCTTGACAACAGTGATAAGAAAGATAATTAATACTTATCGTGTCTTCCTAAATAAAATATTGGAGTAAGGGAGGGACGGACGCATATATCTAAATTAATTCCGTTACTCATGCTAATCAATCGAGCCTCCAATCCGCGAAAATTCGTGACGAGTGTAACGATACTCAGGCTACTACTACTGTCGATATAACTATTTTCATGTATATGCTAAGATTTAATTAGCTTTTGGAAAATAAATCAAGGAAAAAGACTATACCGGGACACGGCTCACCACTAAATACCCCACACCGCCTCACTAAATGCAGATATTTATAAAGAGGCTTTTCAAAATAAGGCCTTATGTAGGAAATGGTAGATAAACTGGCGTGATCTGAACCGTGTTCAATGATGTTCGCCTTTGGGGCAAAACTCGTTGTTGTCACCCAAATATTCAAAAAATTGCGACATGTAAGTTGAACATAAAAAAATAAGACGGCCAGATGGACAGAGGGACGTTATAATAAAAGTACACCTATTTCAAGTTCCTCTGATTGTTGCGTACATCCGCACAAACTTAATGTATTCTTGCAGCAAAAGTGAGAAGAAGAAAACACAATAAATATACTAAGTACACAAGAATTTAGTTTGCAAGTTTGTATTCATTGAGGAAGGTACACTTTTACGAGACGTCGATATTTGGAGGATATTTATGCTCCATAAAAATTCTTGTATATCTTTTTGTGTTTATATTAGCAAAGTTAATAATTACACTAAACGTGTGAAAGAACGCAGGTAGGAATGCTTTATATTGGAAAAGTAAAGAGCTGAGCGAAAACCAGAGAAAACCAGAAAGGTTTCAAATTAGAATCATTGTGATGCTGCTGAGTAAGAGTAAGCAAAAATATGATGCACATTTTTATCTTACAAGGATTTGAAGGCATACAACTGCGCATGAGATTGTGTACGTTACTTTCCATTCACACGACTGTGCAGCTCCCAATTTTTTGTTTAGATAATTCGTGTTAATATTACGTGAGAGACGATCGTGTAGCCATGGCTGACAACAAAATTCATTTACGCCACTGTGCTATGTACGAATTCCACCAAGGAAGGGTGTAGAAATTCCTTGTTTGGTGAAGGTATAGTTTCTGGTCGAACATGCAGAATATAGGTCGAAAAATTTCAATTCCATTATTTCAAACTTTCTGATAAGCTAAGCCCTCGGCAACAATCTATGATCGTTCCGAATACCGGTTCGACAGCACTTTCCGGTGGATATAACTCTTTTATAGAATATTATTTAATTGCCATTGACTTTTTAGTCTTTATAATATTTTGCTCAAAATTCATTCTCACTTTTCTTGTTCACAAATTGATAAATGTAGAATAAAAACTTAAAAAATGAAAACTTTTTAGAAATCGAAATTTCACAAACCTCTTAAAATAGCAATTGTGCGCTGTTTTGATGCAATTTAAATAAAAGCTTAACAAATTTTTTGAAAGAGACAATGGCGGACGAGGAAAATGCACCAGAGGCAGCACCAGATGCACCACAAGAAGAAAAGGAAGGCGGGGAAGATGTTGAAAAAAAACCAGAGGAAGAAGCTGAAAGTGAAGACAAAGAAAAGCCCATCATTGATTGTCCGAAGCCCGCACCAAAGAAAACTTTAAAACAATTCCAAGAAGAAAGGGAGAAAGAGAAAGAAGAGAAAGCGAAAGAGAAAGAAGAGAAAGCGAAAAAGAAAGAAGAGGCAAAAGCTAAAGCAGATGCTGCTGGAGAAGGTTCCCCTGAGGAAAAACCTGCTGAAGAAGCGCCTGTTGAAGGAGAAGCTGCTGCGAAAGAAAAGAAGAAGAAAAAGAAAGTTAAGGAAGAACCACCGCCTGTTTATCGACGTCTTGATTGGACTTTTTATCCCACTTTGTGTGAAATATATAATTGGATGGATGTAATTGTCGAAAAATGCCCTAAAGTGGTTACGAATTTCGAAATCGGTCGTTCGCATGAGGGCCGCCTAATAAGGGGACTCAAAATTTCTTTTAAAAGTGGTAACAAAGCAATCTTTATAGAGTCAAACATTCATGCCAGAGAATGGATAACATCCTCAGCGGTTACTTGTGTGATTATGGAGTTACTGTTTTCCAAAGATCCTGAAGTACGTCGAACGGCCGCAGGCATCGACTGGTATATAGTACCAGTATTTAATGTCGACGGCTTTGTTTATTCGCAAGAGAAGGTAAATTATTTTTAATTTGTAACGTGCGCGCATATAATGAATGTTTCTGCGATCTATAGGAACGCTTGTGGCGAAAGTCAAGAAGACCTTTAAAAGAGCAAAAGACTCCCGAATGCATAGGTGTGGATTTAAATCGCAATTTCAATCATCAATGGGGAAGTAAGCAAGCCATTATTTTTTAGTTTTTTAACGTATATTTTAAATGTGTGCATTTGATAAAGTTAAAAAACATGAACCTTGCACCGATCAGTATGGTGGCAGTGCGGCTGAATCTGAACCGGAAGTTAAGCAACTGACTCAGTTTATTGGCACAATACCGGAAGGTACTCTTAAGATTTATATAGCATTACATGCTGCCGGACAAGCAGTACTTACTCCCTGGTCCTATACGAAGGAAGAACAACCTAAGGACCATAAAGAACTGATGGAGGTGGCCAAGGCGTTTGTTGAAGCTGTTTATTCTCGGTTTCGAACTAGATATGTTTACGGTCCTGCCGCAGAAATTTTGAGTATGTTAAGTATTTTATCTATTCTTGACGAAATGTAAACTTAAGTGTTCTCAAGACGTCGGAGAATTTTGCGGCACAAGCACAGACTGGGCTTACGGAGTGAAGAATATACCAATATCACTTGGCATCGAATTGCCGGGTAAGAATACACAAAAACCTTTCGAGTTGCCAACAGAATCGATTTTACGTGTAAGCACAGAATTGCTGGATGGACTTGTGGGAATGATTAAGGCCGTTGGAGAGCTTGGTTTTATTGAAAAGATACCCGAACCGCCGAAAAAGGAAATCAAGCCGAAATTCGAACGGCCAAAAAAGGCACCTAAAAAAAAGGAGGAAGGTACAGCAGAGGAAAAACCAAAACCGAAACCAAAATGGGTTACAGAGTAGAAAGCAGTAAGTAAATTAATAGACAGAATAAAATCCAAATAATGAGTATGAGTACTAAGCTTCAGCAGCTGCTTTCTTTCCTACCAGGGAAGGTCGTATTTTGGGCCAGGCTTTTCCTGTTAATCCAACGGTTTAAGCATTGAATGTGTAGTGTCATTTCCAGTGCTTTCTGTGATCCGTAACCGAAATTTTGCACAGCTTCTTACTTCATTGGATCTTGAAAATGGCAAATTATCTCCAAGAAAAAAACGATTTCGAAAATGTTTTAATTTATACCGTATCGAAAACTGTTAGTTTTTCCCAAAGCCGGCATAAACAAATTCTTTTCTGCTTTAAAGGTCAGATGACAAAAAGTCTTGATGCAATTTTTATAATTAAGAAGCTACTGTTCATCACGTAGAGATTATTGAGTCGTGGACAAAGCCCTGTGGGACTGTTTTATGTATTCAAATACCAAGGTAAACAAATTTTATCTGTTAGCAATTTTTTGTAAAGATGCAAACATTTCTGTGACATCCGTGACGTCAAGAAGATGAAATGAGTCCCAAGGGTCCACTTAAACGACACTTTACACGTAAGTAATCGATATTACAAAACCTTGAGACATCTTCCTAAATAGCAAAATAATTTTTCAAGTATCAGAGACAAATCAACACTGGGACCTGTGACCAAATTTTACCTTTACAATCTGTGTAAGTCCAAATGTAGTGACATAAGCTGCAGAATTAGAGCAAAGATATGAAACATCATTGTCGTAGATGCAGCTGTAGAGCAAGTGTTCACATTTTGGTAAATCCATTTGCCAGTCAAGTTTAAAATGAAGACTTTTGTGAGATGTCAATAATATGTTTCTGCACTGGGAGGTAAACGAATAGTGTTTTCCTTGAACGATATGACAAAGATGAACCGTTGTTTTCTGCAGCAACATCGTGAACAACAAGCGATAAGCTTTACATCGTTTGTTGGAGCGATTGAAGCTGACAGGTTTTCGTTTAAATTGCGGAGGAAACAGCGCAAGAAATAATTTATTCAGAGCGAGTAGATTTCGAGTCCAAATTGAAAAATGAAAATAATTGA